TTCTTCTTCCTCAAAAAACAGTCCAGTTATCTTTTGAGCACTTTTGAGCCAACTATGACCTGGATGACTGAGAATCTCCATAGACATGTAAGGCGAGAAGCATCCTCCCTCATCACCCAAGGCATCTCGAGGACATCAAGTGGAAGAATAGGATATTCCTTGACTTGGAATTCCAAGCTGCCTTCGGGCCGAACGCCGACAGAGTGCCTGGATTCACACTTTCCAGGAAATACATTTATTTTATTTGTCACGGGATTTCCACAGGGAGCCCAATTCAGCATTTGGAATGACACCTTTTATCTCTTTCCGGTCCCGGTACCAGCGCAGGGTGGCCGCAGGGCGTGACCTGGGAACGCTGCAGGTGAGTTCAACTTCTCCTCCTTCTACCGCCTGTTCCTTCACCTCCACTAAGGGACTGTCCGGGGGAACTGGAAGAAGAAGCCAAACCAGGCAGGTCATTAGTCATCCCCTCCATCATCTCACACCCCATGGCTGAATCCTTCACCTGAGTACCTGAACTGCCTCTAATGAGGCAACTTTCCTAATTAACATTTCAACGGCTAGTCATAGTGGGAGGAGATGTCTTCAACCCAAGCTTCTCAATTCTGAGAAGGTCATTTTAGGAAGGAAAACAAGAACTTAGCCTTCTACAATGAAGCTAAGGAGAAAAACAGAGAGGACCCAAGAGGTGGGCATGCGTTTCTGAAGATTACAAGGGTTTGCTAAATCCCTCAACCTCCATTTGTTCCTCCCCAACATTTCATGCTTGCAAAATCAGATTTATTTATTTTTTCTAAAAAAGGAGGTATAGGTTTTGTTTCATCTGCATCAATGCTTCCGCTGATGTTCTGCTAAGGAAGAATCCAAATCTTCTCTCTCCCTGTCTGAAGATTATCGGCTCCCTTACCGCCAAAGGCTGACCTTGAAAAACGATTGTGTCTTCTAAATAAATAGTCTTTTGTCTGGCAGGTTTGGTAGATTCCCGAAAGTGTGACTTTCAGGAAGGCTACAGCTCAGCATCAAAGCACATGTTCAACGCGCTAAAGATCTTAGGTTCAATCTCTAAGCTCTCCTGAGAGGGATAAAGAAGACGGGTCTGAAATTCTGGACAGCCATTGAAGTCTGTCTAGACAATCGTATGTTAGGATGTCCTTTGTACTGGCAGCTTCCAAAACATACCTGATTTTTTTCCCCTCCCTTTGGGGCGGCTGCAGTCTGAGTTAGAGGGGTGAAATTTAGACGGATGAGCTTTAAGAAATGGGTAAAAACCCGGCAAGCAGTTACCAGGCACATATTGTCACATGTGGTGGGCATGCCAATATGTAAGGAGATTCTGGCGACAGATTCAGGAGTGGCTAGAACAAATGGTGAGACAACTAGAGTTCAAGCCGGAATTATTTTTATTAGGAATTACAACAGAGGGCTACAACAAAGGATCAATTTATTTAATACTACGCATCCGAACAGCAGCAAGAATGGTATACTCTTCCAGCAATGGAAGAGTGAAAACCAGAGGTGGTATTCAGCAGGTAGAGGAAATTTTAAGTAGTTTGGAGAACCAGCAAATACTGCCTCTGACTGGAGATTTCACAGTATCCTTCCCCTGCCACACCCACCAAGCCACGGCCATAGAACTTTGAATCCCACCACTGGTGAAAATACACCTCTAGAAAGAGAGATAATAAAGAAAATACTGGTTTGTGCAAAGTTAGATAGATTAACTCTAGAACTAAAAAAATAAAGGGGAAACTGAGTCCTACAATACATGGAATAGATTTTACAGATGGTTGGAAGCAAGTGGTGGAAATTGGAACATAAAAGAGCTAGGATAAATAGACCCAAAATGTGACACTATTGATGAATACACACTGAACAGACCTTCTAACTTGTTTGGGGAGACAAAGGGTTCCCCTAAGCACATTATCAAGCAGCAACTGATTCAACTGAGCATTGTAATCTCAAAGGATTTAACAGATTAACAGAGTTGCAAGGGACCTTGTAGATCATCTAGTCCAACCCCACCCCAACCCAAGCAGGAGATTCTACACCTTTTCTTCTTGAAAGACACCAGTGATGATGGATGATCCCAGAAGACCTGCTGGTTTTAATCTGGAGCAGCCCCAGAGGTGGTGTGGGAGGGGATATTCAGTTTAAAAGACTGGACTATGGGTGTCCAACCTTGGCAGCTTTAAGACTTGTTGGACTTGAACTCCCTAAATTCCCCAGCCAGCCAGTTGCTTAGCAGGGTGGTGCCTACCCAGCACTGTAAGGATGGCAATCTGATGGTGGGTATCTTCTGTGTACAGCTGGCAATAGTATCCACCTTCATCTTCCAGACGGGCGTTGGAGAGCACAATGCGGACCTGTTTTTGGGTGAACTCCACCAGCTGGAAACGTTCATCCTTCAAGGCTGTAAGGAGCAGAAGGGAAAATGCCTCAGTGGTGGACCAATAAAACAAATAAGAATCATCTTCTCCCAGGTCACAACAAGCCACAGTCATGGTTCTGAACACTCCAGCCCTGGACAACTTCGTAGATCAACACGGAAGGGACATATCAAGAAAGTAGATGACCCAACTTTCATGTGCTCTAACTCTTTGTGGCTCTTTAGCTCAAACCGAGATACCATCCCCAGCAGCCCCACAATTTGACACCTTGAAGCCTAGAAACAAGGTTACCTCGTGTGCCGTTGAAGAAGAGCGTCTGCCGAGATGGGTTCTGGATCACCACGATGGAGCCATCGTATTGGTGCAGCTTGCAATTGATCTCAGCCTGCCCGCCTTCTGCTACCGTGACATTCTCGGCTTGGACCTCCTGAGCTCTAACTAGGATGGAGAAAAAGAGAGAAGGGGTTGTTACCAGCTTTGTTTCCTGGAGAAAGGACATCTGGGACATCATCAAGGAAGTCTGCTTACTGGGTGGACCTATCCTTATCAAAAACAACTTCTTGAGAAGGGCATAGTTGAGGGGCATCAAAGTAGCTTTGGAAATTCCGTGTCGGTGAGAACTATCTCAAAATAAGGATGAGCAAGGTACATCCCTAAGAAATGACTTAGCAATAGCAACAGCACTTACACTTATATACTAATTCATAATGCTTTATAGCCCTCTCTAAGCCGTTTACAGAGTCAGCCACTTGCCCGCAACAATCGTCATGCCCCTGGTGGAGACTGACTCTGAGTAGTCAGAGGAGGATCCAGGCCCATCCCCTCTCCATCCTAGGGCACGCAGGGAGGAGAGGATCAGGGTAAAATGTGGTCTACTCGGGAGGAGAGGGCCATGATCCTCTTCATGGGTTGCAGGTGTGAGATCTGCATAAGAGTTTGGACCTGCGTGCTAATAGACGCTGGAGACAAATTCGTGTTTTATTCCTAAAGAAGGTTTATCTTGGTTGGCGTTCTTCCAATGGACTGTCCCTAGTTATCTTCCTGAAGTTGGCAATTATCTAACCTGGTCTGTCGTGAAACTTTATTCAATGCAGTTTGTTTTTGGTTTTTGCTTCGTTATCGGCTCTTTGAATTTGAACTGTGTTTCTTTCCTTTGAAATGTTATTTTGAAAACAATTTACTCCTCCACTGTGAACAATTAAACAGTGAAGCCAAGTTGAAGGCATTAAAAGGACTTTTAGTTACATTTTCGGTTTTGTTATATTTCTGATATACTCTGGGTCATCACAACAATCTGAGTCCTCATTTGACCCACCTCGGAAGGATGGAAGGCTGAGTCAACCTTGAGCCTGGTGAGATTCGAACTGACAAATTGCAGGCAGCCGGCAGGCAGCAGAAGTAACCTGCAGTACTGCACTCTAACCACTGTGCCACCGCGGCTCTTATTTACTGAGACTTCCAGAGTGTTCTCTGAGCAAACCTCAGAGGGGAACAGAAGAGGTCAAAAAATGAGACAGAAAAATCAACTTCGGCTGCTATATCTGGGTTGCAAAACCCTCCCTGGCCATTCGATGCCAGGAGAGAGTAAGAGTTCTTTACTATTAGCTGGTGTTTATCTAATAATCTTCATTTTCGCCTGAATATGGCTGGCCCAGCTTCACCATTGGCGTGTGTTCGTGTACGTGCATGTGTGTTTATCATAATTTTGTCCCAATAAAGGAAATATTTATAGCTCGGGCTTACACAACGAGGACTCCTTGAATGCTAGTGCTGTGATTAGCACTGATGATGTTACCTAGCTTGGATAATGAAAAGTCTGCAAGAAAACAGAGAGCGCCATGGATCCCTTATTATAATTTTGGCTTGTTTATGTGAGGCCATCGAGAAATATTCATCTGCCTAAGTGTTTTATGCAGACTATAATCTGAAAGATAATGGTCAGTGGTCAGCGGGTGGATAGCCTTGCCAAGAAGGAGCTAAGAGCCGGAGGGAAGACCGGCTTCACCTCTTTTGAAGCTTAACTAATCATCCTTCCCATCCTCACAAGTCAGCTATTAATTCCACAGAGGCATAAACAAGAGCACATTGGAGTAACACAAAAACCGGCAAAGTAAAATGTGAAAAGAGGAGGGCATGACAGGGATTGTTGGGAGAATTCCTTATAGGAACAGCCTCATCACGGGTGTGTGGATTATAAGGCATTAAAAAAATAGCAGGTTGCATGGACTCATGCAGGCATTTCGGGGACTGCGTGCAATCTTAGGAAAATACACAGCGCTTCAATGAACCCAGTCCTGACAGGTATTTTTTTATACCTCTTAACAATCCCCATTCCCTGCCTGTAGGAGAACATGTAAAATATTAAACCCTTTTTATAAACAGCACAGAGAAGAAAGGGCCCAGGTCAGTGTTAGAACGGTGTTCTTCCCACAGCATGCTTCAGCCATGTTAAATAAAGGCTAAATGGTGGACACCTCCACGTTAATAGGCTTAGCACGATTCCAAGGTTCACCGGTATTATCCATGCTGAACGCCAAGAGCCAATGTACACAACCCTGCACAAGACAAACGCGACATAAACTGAGCTTTAAACTTGGGACTTATCTGCAGCCTTAACTGCAACACTTTCGCTCCATGCATTTTGGGGAGGGTTTTTGTTAATTAAAGACTAACAGAATAGAATAATAGCTGATCTCTTCTCTTCTCTTCTCTTCTCTTCTCCTCTCCTCTCCTCTCCTCTCCTCTACCCTACCCTACTCTACTTTCTATTTTGTTCTACTCTATTCTATTCTATACTAGCTCTATACCCATGCTTTGCTATGAAACTATGTGGTTGGGATTAGTTTTTGGGGAGGAAAAAAAGGGGTGGAAATTTGCCTCTATCTACCAGCATCCATCTGGATAGCGCCCTGTCAGTGTGTGAGAGAGTTGAGGGCTGTTGGGAATCTGAAACAGTATTTGCTGTGTGAGCAAGAAGGAGACAGCAAGAAGCCTGGGCGTGGCTTAGCTCAACTCTTCTGTACTAAAGCTGCTTGGTGCTGTGAAACTAAAACTAAAAATGAAAATGAAACTCCTCTGCTTGTGTTTTGCATTTGAAATAGATTTCTTTTCAGGTGGGGAGGGGGAGTAGAACTCCTTAGCATCAGAGCATGTTAATAATAATAATATACGTAATACTAAAGCTCTGATGGTCATTTCGAAAAATCCTTTCTTAGTGAGCACCTAGAAACCAAGAGGAACATACGTGCCAAATTTCAAGTTTGTAGGCTTTATTGTTCTGGAGATTTTGTGATGATGCGTTGAGTGATCTTTCGCTTTTTTATATATATATTCTATTCTATTCTATTCTAATTTCTATTCTACTCTACGTTCTGTTCTATTCTACTCTACTTTCTATTCTACTTTGTTCTATTCTATTGTGATTTCTGTTCTAATTTCTATTCCATTCTATTCTTACGCTACATTCGATTCTGTTCTGTTCTCTATTCAAAATGTGGGGATGCAAAGGTCTATCAAAGAAGAGAGGATGTGAGAAATAGTGTTCTGATAGAAGAGGACCTGGGGTGATGGACTGCAGCTAGTCCTCGACTTATGACCACAATTGAGCCCCAGATTTATGTTGCTAAGCGAGATTTTATGTTGTTAAGTGAATTTTGTCCCATTTTACGACCTTTCTCACCACACCCAAGTGAATCGCCGCAATTGTTAAGATAGTAACACATTTGTTAAGTGAATTTGTTTCTCCGTGGCTTGTGGGAAGGCTGCCAGAGGGGAATGACATGGCCCAGGGTCTTAAGTTGTGAAAAACGGTCATAAGTCCCTTTTTTTCACGTAACTTCGAACGGTCAATAAATGAACCATTGTAAGCCAAGGACTGGGACAGTCCAATTGGAGAGAGAGGATGAGCCAGCCCGTTCCAAGCCAAGGGATGTGATCTTTGGCCATTCAGTATCAAGGTGGCCTCACCAAAAAGTGTTTATCCGGCGTCTCGAAAACCACGCACAAAAATTTCTGCCTGAAGATAACCCCCTCTTGTCATTCAGAAGGACTCTTTCCCCCCACCCCCAGGTTGCATAAATTATGCATTTGAGTGGCAAAGTTCCTCACTTTAAAATGATTACACAGTGTCAATTATTCCTCCCCCATTCCACCCCGTATCACATCATCGCGCCGTTCAACCACAGAATTAAAAGTCTGAAAAGCATCCGTACCCATCACCATCTGCGTACGCCCGAAGACAACAATTGATGCTGTCCCAAGATACCCGAAGGGCACCTGGTTCCGATTCTACCCTTGCAACCTCCACTTTGTGAATGTTGTTTTGGCATTTAGGCAGGTCTCAAAGCAATATAGGGGCGAGCAGAGATGGGGACAAAAGACACACAAACAACTCACAGGTGCAAGGACAAAAGAGCACACACGCAAACGTGGGCAGGAAATGCCTCCAGAAAAGGCCTGTGTCTCTCCTCAACCGTGCCCCATAATCCCTTGTGGGGTGGTGCCTGGGCAACTGAATGGAGCTAGCAGAGCGTTTACTGGCCGGATGCCCTTCCTGTTGCCAATGAGGAGTTTTGTTCAGCAGATATATTCTCATTGTGCCCAGAGAGATAAATAACTGTCTCTACCTATTAGATGAAGGAATAGAAGGGGAACTTACCAAATTTGCAGATTATACTAAGCTAGCCGGAATAGCTAACACCCAAGAAGATAGGCTCAAGATCCAGATGGATCTCGACAGACTAGAACACTGGGCCATATCTAACAAAATGAAATTCAATGTAGAGAATAGTAAAGTCCTACAATTAGGCAAGAAAAACCAAAAGTACACACACAGACTGGGTGAAACCAGGCTCAATAGCAGGAACTGTGAGAGGGATCTTGGAGTCTTAGTGGACAACCAGCTAAATAGGAGCCAGTAGTGTGCAGCAGCTGCCAAAAAAGCTAATGCAATCCTAAGTTGTATTAACAGAGGGATACAGTCAAGATCAAGGGAAGTACTAACACCACTCTATAAAGCCTTAGTAAAACCACATCTAGAGTACTGCATCCAGTTTTGTTCACCACATTATACAAAAAGATGTTGAGACTCTAGAAAAAGTACAGAGAAGAGCAACCAGGATGATTAGGGGACTGGAGGCTAAAACATACAACGAACGGTTGCAGGAACTGGGCCTGGCTAGTCTAGTAAAGAGAAGGACCAGGGGAGACATGGTAGCAGTCTTCCAATATTTGAGGGGCTGCCCCACAGAGAGGAGGAAGGAGTCAAGCTATTTTCTGAAGCACCCAAAGGCTAGACAAGGAATAATGGATGGAAACTGAACAAGGAGAGATTCAACCTGGAAATAAGGAGAAACTTCTGACAGTGAGAACGATCAACCAATGGAACAGAAGTTGCCCTCAGAAGTTGTGGGAGCTTCATCCCTGGAGGCTTTCAAGAA